GGTCGAGTTTGCTTAGAAGTAATTTATCCAAACTAATATAATAATATATTATTTTGTTATCTTCATTGTATTGATTTGTTAACTAATTATTAAATGCATTCATCAAGGTACCTCATCGTAATCGATGATATATGGAATGAAAAAGCATGGGAGTTAATTAAGTGTGCTTTCTCCAAGAAGAGCACCGGAAGCCGACTAATCACGACAACCTGAAATGTTAGTGTCTCTGAAGCATGTTGCTCTTCTGAGGATGATATTTACAGAATGGAACCCCTTTCCAATGATGTATCAAGAACACTCTTCTGTAAAAGAATATTTTCACAAGAAGAAGGCTGCCCTCAAGAATTATTGAAAGTATCCGAAGAAATTTTGAAGAAATGTGGCGGTGTACCGTTAGCTATTATTACTATAGCAAGTCTTCTAGCTAATAAGGGTCATATAAAAGCAAAGGATGAATGGTATGCTTTGCTTAGTTCCATTGGTCATGGACTCACAAAAGATCGCAGTTTGGAGCAGATGAAAAAGATATTATTATTCAGCTACTATGATCTACCTTCTTATTTGAAACCATGCTTATTATATCTAAGCATCTTCCCAGAAGACCGCGAGATTAGGAGAGCTAGACTGATATGGAGATGGATATCAGAAGGCTTTGTTTATAGTGAAAAGCAAGATATTAGCTTATATGAGCTCGGTGACAGCTACTTCAATGAGCTAGTAAATAGAAGTATGATCCAGCCCATAGGCATTGATGATGAAGGAAAGGTAAAGGCTTGCCGTGTACATGATATGGTGCTTGACCTCATATGCTCATTGTCAAGTGAAGAGAACTTTGTCACAATATTAGATGACCCCAGAAGAAAAATGCCTAACTCAGAGAGCAAGGTTCGCAGGTTGTCCATCCAAAATAGCAAGATAGATGTGGATACCACTAGGATGGATCATATGAGATCTGTTACTGTTTTCTCAGATAATGTTGTTGGGAAAGTGTTGGATATTTCAAGATTTGAAGTTCTGCGCGTGTTGGATTTAGAAGGTTAAGAGATACCAATGTTGAGGACCTTCCCATGGAAATAGGGAAGCTGCAGTTTTTGCTTACCTTGGACATAAGAAGGACTAAGATAGAAGTATTGCCATCGAGTGTTTTTCAGCTAAGACGTCTAATGTGCCTGTATGTTGATTATGGTATGAAGCTGCCATCTGGGATAGGTAACCTGACATCCCTAGAAGTGCTATATAACCTGAGGTTATCTGACGTGGACCTTGATTTTGTGAAAGAATTGGGCCGTCTGACCAAGCTCAGGGTGCTCCGGCTTGACCGCGATGATTTTGATGAGAGCGTGGGTAAAGCTTTGGAGGAATCCATTAGTAATATGTACAAACTGGACAGTCTAGATGTATTTGTCAATCGTGGACTCATCAATTGCTTGAGCGAACATTGGGTGCCTCCTCCACGACTCTGTAGATTGGCTTTCCCGTCAACGGGAAGTTGGTTCGAAACATTGCCGTCATGGATAAATCATTCATCGCTTCCTCTCCTCTCCTATCTGGATATAAAGTTGTTTGAAGTGCGATCGGAGGTCATCCAACTTCTTGGGACTCTGCCTGCTCTTGTTTATCTTGAGATATGGAATTATTCTATTATGTCCGAAGAAGCGCATGAGGTGGAAGTGCCCGTTCTTTCCTCTGGAGCATTATTCCCATGTGCGACAGAGTGTCGCTTCATTGGTATTGGTGCCGTGCCGTCTATGTTTCCACAAGGAGCAGCGCCAAGGCTTAAACGCCTTGATTTCGTCTTACCAGCCAAGTGGATCTCCGGTGAAAACTTTGATTTGGGCATGCGGCATCTCCCTTCCCTCCAGCGAGTCAAGGTTCATTTTATCGAGGGGGGAGCTAGCGAGCGGGAGGTGGATGAAGCAGAGGCTGCGCTGAGGGCCGCAGCGGAGGACCACCCCAACCATCCCGCTCTTAACCTCTGGTGAAACATGGAGAAAAGGTTCGCTCTCATCTCGTGCACGGCCGGGCTTTGGTACTTCAGTCAGGTCCCGCTTTGGTTACTTATGCTGCAAAAATGCGTAGCACAAGTCTTGTTATTTATGCATGCTACAAAATTACATGTAACCTGATCAAAATTAGTACTAACTGATAACCCAACAGTAATACTGAATTACTGATACATGTGCCTTTTTCTCTGTACTTGGATGAACTCTGCTTTCTTCCTTTCTGAAACATTGAACTGAAGCATTTCAATGTGTGTTTCTTCCAAATGGCATTGCAGGTAGCATAGTAGGAGCTAGCAGATGTCGTCTCGTCGACATGGATTCGATCATGGGTGCCTCCAACAACTCCTCATGTACTCTGCTGTTTGACCTGTCTCCCCATTCGGTCTGCTTATGTTTCGAGTCTCTTCACGCTTCCCCCAACTCAAGAACCATTATGTTTGAGGGCGCCTGCCCCATGTGTTTTGCCCTCGATGAACCATTAATTATGATGTACTGCTTGGCTGGTTTGCTTGCTCTCATTCTGCATGCTACTGCTTTGTGTGGAGCAGCTCAATGTTTTGTTCCATAATCATAAACTACGATGTCCGGTTCAGTTTGATGTATTGGTTTCATGATGGAATAAACAGGCCTGTATTAAATATACATCTTTGTATTGTAGTAGCTAGAACTCGAATTTGAATATCTCTTGCATACTACGGTGTGCCTTCGCTGTCATCTAGTACTCTGTGAGATTATTGGCCCTGAACTGATGCAATGTTTTCTGGATGAAATCATGATTCAATATCCCTTCACTGACTACCTTAATTATACATGGAGCAAATCATAAGATCTCCATATCATACGATGTAATGCACATGAAGACCCGCTTATTACCAACTCAATAAGTTCATGTACTGATATCATGACAGTATCTTGTTATGTTGTCTCCATCAGACTTGCTTTTGTTTGTGTGTGTGTGGTTACTCTTGTCGCGGTCTGAGCTACAAGTGTTTGTTTGTTTGTTTCTGCTAGCATTTACAGTTCATCTTCCTTCATTTTTTCCATTTCTGGTGGAGCGATTGAATCATCAAAATCCTGCATGAAGGTACTATTTTTGCAGCATCAATATGGCTGGCAAGTTTGGTGGGTCAGAAAGGGCTATGGTTTCCGCCAAGCAAATTGCAACGTGAATATAATTTCGCCCTGGTTATTTATGTATTAAGGTGCATAGTCACATATACAGCATGAATTGTTACTTTAGCCTGCCACAAGGTTACATATAACGTGCTCCAGATTAGCAAGCGGCCCGCTAGTTATATTGTTGCCCTCTTCTGCACTTGGATGTGTTGGAATAATTGGATATTCGCCCACGGATCGATCACATCAAATACGACGAACACACGCGCGCAAAAATTGATAGCCAAGGACCCTTGTCGTGCCCTTTTTTCTTTTTATTTCTTTTTGTATTTTCTCTCTCACGGTTGCTTGTGCACGGGGAAACACATCTTTTCACCCGCCATATTTTTTCTTCTTCTCAATGTCGCCGATGCCACATCTTATCAAACGACACCTCATGTCCAGCAGCAACACAACTCGCCATATACGTGCAACTCATCTTCACCGTATATGAACTCGCCGGAACTCCATGATCATGAACGGAAACGCAAGGCACAAATTCCTTTTTCCGCCCGCTCTCGCTCGCAATTCTCCTCCGCCAGTGACGCATCTCAACTGCAGCAGAAGACTCACACATCTGAGCTCTTGGACGCACCTTGCAAGAACTCATCTGCACACTTTGATGACGGCTCGCAGCTTCGCCATCTCCATCTTGCACCATCCAACGATGATCTCGATGATTTCCTCGGTGTCGCAACTTCGGCACCTCCATAACCATCAATGATCACCAACGCCTTCCCGACGACAACCATGTCGCCCTCCTCCAGATAGTTCCGTCGAACAACGATCACCGTCACCACGTTTGTGACAGCGTCCTCGCCGCCTTCTCATTGTCGCTCCGCTGAACGACAGCCGCCTGACCCTCGACGTCGTTGCACCACCCAACGACTATATCACCCGCTCCTTGTCGCTACGCCAGTGACTGTATCACTCGCTCCTCCTCGTCGCTCCACCAACGACTTTATCGCCCGCCCCGAGGCGCTAGTCGGGTCGCCACCCCGGGGCAAGCGCAGCTTCGCTCGAACCTTGCTCTAGATACCAATTGTTGGATATTCGCCCACGGATCGATCACATCAAATACGACGAACACACACCAAAGCTAGCTTTAACCGGACTGACAAAGACCCATACTTTCCTAATTACCGATCACACTGGTCGCACTTAATACTTATCCTAACAGGACTCAAACATGACTATCTACTGGTAATCTCAAACTTACCTAATTAATACTAATTTATGTTTGGATTACCTAACAGGATGAACTCTGTTTACTTCCAACTGAGATATTCACATGTACTACTATGTCCTTCCACACAGCTGACAAATTTCGCCGACATGGACTGGATCGTGCGTGCCGTCCTGATTCCGGTCCAACCAAGACTGTCAAGACTCAACAACACTACGTCTGCGGCTCTGCTTTTGCATTGCGGTCTGATCCATCTTCCTTAAGCAACGAGATGAAGCTCTCATTCTGTCAGACTCATGTCTGAATCTTGGGCTTCTTGCTGCTGACGACTCGGACAAGAACCATTTAAGTTTATTTCTTCGATTGGACCAGGGGTTTATTCACGATGTACTGCTGGCTTGTTTGTGTACTATAACCACTCGCCGCACTGCTTTCTTCCTAGCACCTACAGACCCCAATTTTTTTTTTCGAGACTGTCAGTCTTCAATTTGTGAGATGTTTCCAATTTTCATCTTCTGATTGTATCACTTGTTTTCTCCATCTCCTTGCATTTGTTACTCATCATGCTGGTCCAGTTAAGTTTCATCGAACAAGCGAGGTAGTAGTAGTCAGTGGTGTTGTTGTGATGCACAAACAGGGAAGCCAGCCTACAATCTGTATCAGCATCTTTCTCTTTGTGTAGAACTGAACTGCGACTTGCCTTTTACATCTCTGATCTCTGTATCAGCATCTTGGTTCTGTTGAGGAGTAGCTATGACCGTTGGAGCTCGACGCTCCTGCGACGCGCTCGCACGGCGCGGCGGCGCCCCTCTGCTGCTCTCCCCCGGCGCCTCTCCCAGCACTGCTCCTATGCCACACCACCTCCCTCCTCCTACGCCCTTCCTCCCGCCAGGTGTCTCTCCAACTTTTTTGGTCCCTCGTCTTCTCCGACCTCGAGTTACCCCGGTCCAAGATCTGCTGCGGCTGCTCCTTCGGTTGGCCTCCGACCGCCGGCGGGCGGGGCACCTCATCGGCTCCGGAGTGTGATCGTCGGGCGCACCCCTCTCGACGAGCCGTCGCGCTGGGAGCGCGATGCCATCTGCACTTCTATGTCCGCCTGGCGCCGCGCGGTCTCGTCGCCCACCCCGGCGTCATCTACCGCTCCGGTGGGGATCCTCCGTGCCCCTTCTGCTCCAGGGGCTCCGGCGCGGCAAGGCCCGCGCAAAGCAGTGCAGTTCAACCTGCCTCCATCGACGTCCGTCAGCTCCCAGGAGGCCCACCTCCTCTCACGCCGCCAAGACGCTTCGTTTCCTCCACGCTTTTCGGCGTGCACGGACCCGGCCGCCGCTGCCTCGGAAGATGGATGGACTACAGTTATGTCCCGCCGCGCGCGACGTGAGGCCCGAAGGGTCGCGGCTCCACTCAGAGGGAGCCGCGTCGTCTCTTCTCCTCTGCCCGAGGCGTCGGACCTCCATCTCCTTCGTCTACAAAGGCTGGGGCCAAGGTTTGCTTCCGCTGCAGCTCTCCTAGCCACCTGGTCGCCTCTTGCTCCCACCCACGAAGCCGCCGCTCCCAGCGGCAACCTCCTCCAGCTAGCAGGACGCGGCTGCCGTGCGCGTCCTCTCCACCTTCGGCGACCATGTCCTTCCTCGGCCACCCTTCCACGCGCGAGGAGGAGGACACTTGCTACATCGCGACTTCATACGATCTCGACCGCGAGCGCCTGGACTGGGAGAGCACCGCCATTGTGGCGTGGGTTATCGCTGCACCGTCGGGGACGGACCGCACCGATGTCGACGACGTCTTCCGTCGCAAGTTCCGCCTGCGGGCGTCGGAGCTGATGGTGAGCTCTCACTTCCCGGAGCAGTACCTCGTGAAGTTCTCCTCCGCCGAGCTGCGCGACGAGGTCATGCGTACGGAGCGTTGCAATTTCAAGCTCGACGGCCTCGACATCCACTTCCGGCCGTGGCGCGCCGTCTCTCACACCTACAACGCCGACCTCCACTTCCGCGTCCACGTGGTCGTTGACGGCCTTCCTCCTTTCGCTTGGAGGCCGGAAGTGGTGGACCAGATCGTGGGCCGCAAGTGCGCGGTCCAACGCCTCGACAATGGCTTCACTACCATGGAGGATACCTCCTCCTTCGGCTTTTGGGCATGGACGCCTTCTCCTCATCGCATCCCCAAGGTGCTGTGGTGCACGCTGGTGAACAAGGGTGCGGGTGGCCTCTCCTCCAAGGTCCGCATCGAGGAGGATCGCCCTGATCAATGGAAGAGAGGCGTCTCGTACCGCGTCCTGCTCCATGTCGACCGCGTCGAGGATTTCACTGAAGCTCCGGTCTTGGACGGCGGTGAGCCGCTCACCAACTTCAGGCCCGTTTCGCACTCCCTGCCGCAATGCAACCTAGGCACCATTGACGGCCGGCCCGTTGGTGAGGGCTCGGGTTCCATCCTTCCGGCCCCCATCCCAGCTTTGGGCGAACTCGGCCCAGCCTACCATCGACGCCACGACGACGAAGATCGTTTTGGGCGGGCCCCCTCTGTCGCTCGTGACGAGCACGTCAAACAGCCTCAAGCATGGCCACGGGAGGAAGAACGACGCGCGTCTCATCGCTCCCTCTCCAGGGCCACGGAACGACGCCGTTCACGCTCTGTGGAGACG